TTATAATTTAGATCTGTGCAGTCATTATTGTTTTATTTTAAGTTTTTTTATATTGAGGGTCTAAACTCATGTTTAATTCTCGAGCTGTCAGAGATGCATATTGCTGTGCTACAGATTGAGGCGATTCACATTTGTGACCGCCACCATATCTGCTGGTCAGCATGCTTAACCCTCCCTCCTTTTTTGATGTCAAGCTCTGATATATACTTGCAAGGACTGAAGCTATAGTATTGCGCTGCTTTGGCCTCGTCCCAATCATACAGTATGCTGCACATTAACAGCTTTCATGACAAGTGCTTCCCATTAATTCACCGGACACATTATTACCCGAGGACATTCTTAACAGTATTGTATTCATACATGCTTACATGTGTACACGTTGGCTGCTACAAAAGACTAAAAATTTAAGTTTCCCTTAGGAGTTATGAAGTATAGAAATAGCTGGTATTACAGCAACTAAGTTATATTCTATTTAGCAGAGTGATGTGAGTAATAGAACAATTAGTGGTAAAGTTATGTAGAGTAGTCCCGATTTTTATATGGTGAGCCTTATGCACTGCAAAGTGACTCATCAACTTACATCACAGAAAAAAGTACTACATGGCTTTAACATTAGGAATTTTAGAGAACTATATGAAAATGGGTAGCTATTGACTGAAGATAGTCATTTCAACACAAAAATAGTACAGTGTATTATACTAATAATATAAGTATATATGTAAAATATTGAAGGATATGGTTGCTAATATAATTGCTTCCGGAAACAATTATGCTGATCCAACTTGTTGAAGGTCACAGTGAAGAGAAAATCAGTGAATTGGTTAAACGGTTGCTGCACAGGTAGCAGTTAAAAAGTTTTGAAAAGTATAAGGTATAAGAGTTTTGGGTACTAGAGCAAATTAAGTCATAATCTACCGAGTAGAGTGAAATGAATAGTGGAACGATTAAGGATAAAGGCAGGTTGGATGAACTTGAGGAAAATGGTTGATTGTCTGGGTTGATTACTGTTAAGTTTCTATGACCACTTTTTATATGGCATGCTTTAGACATTACATTGTACCTGTTTGCTTATATTATCGAAAAACTATTACAACCACTTTAGGATTATACGTCCGGGATAATTAGAGATAGTCTTTTGACTCTGCAAACCTGTTTGATGAGATATTGACAGGATTTCTAATAAGCTTAACAACCAAAACTTAGGTCAAACACTGAGGGAAAAATTAGGCGAGTAAAATCACGCTTTAGATGTGATAAGATGCTTGAGGCAAGTGGATTTCCTCAAATTGGGGGTATTGCACTGGGGTCAGTAGTACTAAAGTTAGTTGAACAGCCTATATGATAATAATATATATTTATTCCTATCTATGTAGGACACACCAGTTGTACAGGCATGGATAAGTATTATTTACAATACATAAATTTGATTTATGGTGAAATTACATGGTCTCTGTCCTTTCCCACATTAGTTTGTGAGTACAGTCGGCTAACTAGTCATTCAATGGAGCACATTAAGAAATATAGAAATATTGTCTTTGCATTAACAAGAAAACCCAAGCATGTGTTAGATGGATTACAAATATTTCGGAAAAAATAAAGCTTGAAGTGAATTTCTCCGTATAACTTTGATGTGTGCGCCATTGTTTCTTGTTCTTGATTAATATATAAATTGGGTTATAATTTGAAATGAGCGATTTATTTGTATGATTTTGTCAGCAAATTTACCGTGTGTAACACCAGATGTGAAGTGAAATGAACGCACATTAATATTGGATACTGTCAGGCGGATTTGTTATACTGAATCTGAGTCAGCCGAAGTCGGCCATGTGCATTTTGCATATGCACATCACAGAAAGTCACCGACCGTAGTCGTAGCACTGAATCAATCTATCCTGGAATCTTCAACTGAGGTAAGTCCAACCATTTATTCACCACTAGCAACACTATCCCCGATCAGTCTTAAACTGTGCCAAGGTCATTTTGCACTAAGTTTTGCATCTGTATCTCCCTGATTTATCAGTCATCACCTATTCTTACATCATAAATGGTCTGTTTGTGTGCAACTGGAGCGAATTTAAATGATATCGATTACCGATTTCAGCAACGTGAAGGGCTATGTTGTAAACTTAATCACTCAATTATCCGCTTTGTTTAGCAGAAGTATGTCATGTAAGTAGTTTAGTCGTCCGCACTGCAGTTCATTAGCGTCCCGAGATCAATGTACGATATCAAGAAGTGCGCGCAGTGAAGCCATTTGACTTATACGAGTTTGAAACACTTATGCTTGGCTTTAGGTGTCAGAAATCACATGCTTGATATGTATAGAAAATAGGTGATGATAAACGTTATCGCGATATATTATCGCGCACTGTATGGGTTATCGTGTTCACGCCTATAGAGGCGTCATAAGCGTTTATTTTTGTGAAAGTAGATTATATATGACTGGTTCCAGGCTTCTATAGCCGAAAAAAGCAACATTTTCCAGTATTGTGTTCGTATTAATGAATAAAACTGTCATGATATCCCAGAGGATGTATTACTTCAAGAAATCATCGTATATAAGCAATTTAGCATAGAAAGACTATTATTTGCGTTTTAGAGCCGTAATGGTTTGTTAATTGCTAGTTTTTTGAGGATATTAAGGTTGAAAATTAACTATAGGCAATGGTTGTTTTCATAGCAGTTATTCTATGATAACGAGACATTTGAAGGAGAACTAGCCCACAGGCACAAGTTAAATATACGTTTTGAGGATGGCAAACACTTTTTTATCATCATCCGTGATGATTGAAATATTCCATAACACATCGAAGAGAGCATGCGATGAATGAGACAATTTGCTGAATTTCCTGGTGATTATATCCATACCGATGAAGTTCCTAGTTAAAATCGCTCAGGTGAAGATGTGATACTAGTTTAATTTACATTGCCATATGGAATTTCGGGAGACCATAATTGCTGAGTCCATAACATTGCATCAGATTATCTTGATAGCATTGTGCAACTGGGCAAGAAGGATAGTATAGATGGTCCTTCTAAAATGTCAGACTGCTTCAAATGAGAATCAGCTTTCTGTAGAATAGTAGATAGCAGCTGTGTCCTACAAATACTAAAAGTGTTACTTAAGTTTTATCAGTCCTAATAATTTTCATTTTCAGATCACTAAGATATCCTGAGATTCTTAATGAATTACTTGTGACTATAAGTGATATGGAAGGCGCACTTATGGCTCATGTTTGTAAAACATTTATTATTAAACAAGTTATCTGTAGGGATTTTGTGATGTTCAGGTTACAATGCTTGAGTGTATGTAGTTACTGCATGCTATTGTACTTGAAGGGACAGTTGGTGAAAGTGAAGATAGAATAAAGTTTCTTCTAAAGTCACTATGAATACTGCAAACTGTTGATAAGAAACTGCATCAAAGGAAAAAATTCCGAACAGCTAGAAAATATCACAGCAGTTTCTCAGGATGCTGTTCTCCTCCTGAAATACCTTTTAATTATGTGAGGGAATAGCACTTACGCAAATATATGCAGTGTTCATTGTCAAGGGTCCGCAGTTTAACTTTTATGATAATCCGTTGTAATTGCTTGTACAATAATTGAACGATCTAAACTTTTGAAAAAGTTTTAATTTACGATACTTCACGATTGCAATTTATAACCTAGCTTATTGTGCCTGAAGAAATGTCATGCATTCTTTGTAAACACCCGTTTATACAACATATTAAATTATTATTCTGCTTGGTGCTGTACTTTAGAAGAGGAACAATGTGTGTGACAGTGAAAACCGCAGAAGAATGCTGTCATGACCAAAGAATGAGAAAGGAAAATGAACCTTTTCATGAAATATATTTAACATCCTGCTTACCACACTTTTCTTATTCTATCCCAGTGAAACTAAATTTGTCATTATGACGAGATGGAGGCCTGACCTACCAATGAGACCTGAGAAAGTAATTGTAGGCAAAATTCAACGTAGGCGAAATAGTACTAATATTGCTACAGCTCAACCTATTAAATTATTCGTCTCGTGTAAACTTCATTTTACACTATATGTTAACACCCATAGTCATATGGATTGACATCACGCTTTAAGTGAAATAATAGTAATACACTACTTTTGATTACACTTAACTTCATACGAAATCGAACTCAACTGCAGGGCCTAAGTTCTATTCTTGTTTTTCAAACACTGAAGTTAGGTATTTTTGTCATTAGTCCCTACATATTTACCTATGACTAGGAGACGTAATCGCGTAACTTTAGGCAGATTTTTAGACTTGACTGAAGTACTTATAATTCACCACTTATATCGATGGATAGTGTTCCTACAGAATTGCACTTACGTATAGTAACAAATTCATATCCTAGGAAGCACCGTTCTAGCATGCCGTACTCCCACCGGGAACACACGAACAGAAAGAGAACAATGTTAATAGGTAAAGTTTATTTTTATTGTAGTACGAAAGTAGTTAATTTGCATATTAAGAAAACGGTCCATTTGTGCGATTACTTCTCCCGCGTAATCTGGGGCAACCACATAGTGAATGCAGGACAACTACACTGTTGGCATTAAATAACTTCCTCACTTTTTGAAATTCTGCTAATGAATTCTCAAATTCCTCCCAGCTAAAGAAATGCCTTCCGAGCATTAATTCACCGAAAATTCCACTGACGTCTGCAGTACTTTCACTCGCATTGCCTACCTGCATTAAACTAAAAAGGCTTTGTCAATAAGTATCCATCTGTCTCGCAACTGTTTAAATATAATTCCGTAGAAAAAGCAATATTGAAATACATCACTGAGCAATATCCACCAATAAAATGCTACACCTATAACCTAAAATTGAGAAAAGCCCAAGAACTCACGGGTTCCTTGACATCGCCAACAACTGACAGGCCAACAAGCCGAGTGTATGCTAAACCAAGCCTTGTACATGTAGAAAATGAGTAAAACAAAACGTTAGAATACTCAAACTTTACATTTATATTCATCAAACATGTTTGCAGACAACGCATGACGCAACCACACAAACCTGCACACGACATCACCTACCTAGGACAAGTTAAATATCAAACTAACCGCCACTATTCTAGCCAATCAAAGCCGAGAAAACCCTTAAGCGCGGAAGATTCAAGACGCGATAACGTATTTCCTCACGCGCTTATTCAGTAAGCGGCAATATAAATGACCCACCAAAGTGGCATTCACGGTAATTACTTTCGATTTCTTCTATTTCTTCAGCCGACTCCTACGTAACATCAAAGTTGGCAGATTGCAAAAGACATCTGTTCAGAGCAGTGAAGTTAGTAATAAAGAATGAATGTTTAGTGCTGGAAGCAAAGATACCTACCGAAAGTTCTTGGGAGAATGATTTTGAACATGTGATAAAACAGTTACTGGAATTTGACTCCCCGTGCTATATATTTTACCGCTTAGACTCTGCTAATTCCTTCGGACATGACTGGGTTTTTATCAGCTGGGTTCCTGAGAGTTCCAATGTATGTCATTATTTAGTTTGTGTTAAAGATATTTTGTGAAAATCCTTGTTAGGTGAGGCAGAAGATGTTGTACGCATCTACTAAAGCAACTGTTCGGAAGCAATTTGGAGACAATCTGATTAAAGACGATTTAACCGTGAATTCGTTCGTAAGCCCACATATTTTGGTAACCTTTTTAAGGACGATATCAGCTTGAAAGCTTATAAAAAACATATGGAGAGTAAGACTGCTCCTGGCCCTTTTAGCAATGCTGAGATTGAAATAGCCGGCGTCCGCGCAGGGGAGGTAAAGTGAAATTTTGCTTACCACCTACTAATAGGTAAGCACTGGTTTAAATCCCAGCTACCAAACCATTGGCGGTGTATCATTTGCTCTTAGTTCTGACTCTCGCCCTGTACTGAGAAATTTTAATTCTGGAGCTTATGATTATGTTCAGCTGGTAAGTTTGATCAGCAGAGTAAGATGTCAGTCATAAATATCTGGTGCCTTTTATTGCTTTTTATGAATGAAAAAAACAGTAGTTTTGACGAATCGTGTCATCACAGACACATGCAGCAGATTCAGGGCATTCCATCTCATTATGCCTATACAACTTGAACATCTTGTTCCGACATATTCCAAGAAGTATTCATTACTGCTGAACAGTTTCAACATAGTTTTCTTTTACCAATCTTTGTTGAATTAAAGTATGTATTTGTGTGTTATCTAGAGATACGTAGTTTCGCTTTCCTCTAAATGAATGTCTTTCATTTTCTCTAAAAATCTATGCAATAGTTCGACACTGACCGCAGGGTTTTATTAAACACTGGTCTCCCTTTTTTCTCTGATGCTGTTTTTATCCTTCTCGACTTGTGCTTGACATTACTAAATTATTGATAGATGGTTTTGGAGAAACGAAAAATGTTACTGGCAGATCCTGACCGAAAGCTGCTACCTTGACGTGGTGGTCGGGCTTAAACACTGCAATGACCCAACAAGCTATACTGGCTGGAACTTATGTTCCTGCAGGTCCTACCATGCCAGAAAGGTTGTTTGGATAGCAGTTAGACTAAAAGCAGTTACCCAATCCAATCCTATGATTTCAAATAAATCACAAAATATCATGCCGGATCGGTCGGGGCCCGGATTAACAACGACCGCGCTTTCTGCTGCCGTGTCACAGGGCAGAAGTGATAAATACGCTACTGGGACACACCAAATAAAAAAGAACAAACAAAAACAGGCCGTGTGTGACCGGCCTCAAGCAGTTGTCCCTTGGGCTCTGCGGTCACGCAACCAACTTCCACGGTGTGGGCAGCCGGCCCTCACAATTCGAAGTACACGCGAAACCTCTCTAATCGTCGCTCATCTTTGTCTTCATCTCTATTATTTTGCCTTCCTTCTACCAATGCAACTCCTCTACCTGTTGGCTCTTCACCTCCTCTTCACTCTGTGTGCACTGATAACGATGGAAGCCAAAAAGCCACCACGATACTGGCAGATAAATTAGAACATCCCCATTTTACTCGAACTAAACGGTTACCTCGAATCAAACAAAAGAAGTGTTCCCCTGCACAAAATCTTTTATTTTCCAGGGATTCCAACTTATGATTTATCGAAACATTTCTTCGGGGAACTAAAATATCTTATAGAATCATGTAATCGTTCTTTCAGTGATATTCAATCAGATTGACATCGGAATTACGGTATCCGTTAGTTCCGGCATTGTATACTTCAGTTAAACAAGAGCTGGTGAAAGAAAGTATGAGAAAAGTACTTGTTAGTGATAAATACCTTCCTGGAAACAAATGAGCGTTGAAGATGGTTGGTGCTCGCAGATTTGAGTCCCCTAATATATATCTAATCCAGTGGTTAAACATAAAAAGGTACTTAAACTTTTCCATATAAAGACATATATGGGTCCTTATTGCCCATATAAAGACTAATCACTGGACCTGTTAAGCATACTAAAAACGTCTACATAAAATTAGTTGCATTATGTGAACGACATTCGTCCTAATTAGGAAAATAGTTCTTTGTACATTCAAAACTTACTTAGCAGTATGTTTGACAACGCGGAAATACCAAGAAACTCCTGCAGGAAAAATGGATATTCATATAACTTCAGATGTCTGCTTTCATATCAATCCACCATCAAAAAACCAACCTCCGAAACTACAATGAAAAGTGATATTATGTGTGGTCATTAAACTATATAGTAGAACATAACGAACTTCTGTGCAGTAGAGATGCTCTTAATGGATGGCCAGATATCACACCTGCGTTGTAGGTAAGGTCATATGACATATGTCAAAAGGACCAACTTTCCTCGTTCAGATTTCATCAGTGACTGGTCCATTAGAGCTGAAGTACCTCATCAAATAAGTCAAATACTGCGATTTTTGAGCCATTTGTTTCCTTTCACTTACCTGAAACTTGATTCATATAAGCTATGTAACGGTACTCTGCACTTCACCGCACCTCCAAAAGCTCAAATTTTGGCTTAGTGGGTTCACAAGATTACCTTTTTGTTATTAGCACCTATATCAAATGCATTCTGTAAATTGATGAGACGTTTATCATTAACAGGTCAAATCATAAATGCTTAAGAGCAAACAGCTTCATCCATCGATATGTCCGCAATAAAATTAACACTATGCGTCCCTGACATTACTTCAAACGACAGTCTTCCATTACAAACCTCTCAAGTGTCATTTCACAGCTAAACATTACTACAACACTTGTCTGCTGATGTAGTAGTGTCGCATTCACTTAAGGAAGCATTCAAAGTTTCAGGTGCAGTAAGTATTTTGGTCTCAGAACTTGTTAGGAGTTGGGAACGAAATCAGTATGATTTCACCTGAACCTGATATCTGTCGAAATTGTTCGTAGTTGTCTTTTCGAGCCCCAGTTGGTCCCCATAGGGCTAAGATACCTAGAATGGCTAATATTTTAGTTAAACTGATCCCTTTGCTCCCTGTGTTATAAAGCGACTTAGTCAACTATCTATATGTCACATGGGACTATTTCAAATTTCCTTACACCACCCACTGATTGATTAATTTGGTCAATGGTTTATAGCTGTTATTTTAAAATTCATTTGGAGTCGAGATGTCCTCCTATCTCGTTAATCCCATGTCAGTTAACACCGCCCATCGAGGAAGGCGATGGCTGTTTATGCTTAACACATGTCCTAACCATCACAATAGGTGTAACTTCGCAACTTCGTCGATTGATTTCCCCCCTTACCTTGCACTCAATGCCTAACTTCAATATTGCTCACCTTATTATACCATTGAATACGGGAGATAGAACTCAGGCATCTATGATCAAAGACACTTAACCTTTTAGTATCTCCTACTTTCAATGGCCATGTCTCAGCCATTTAGGAGGACGGAGTGAACTGCTGAGCAATACACACGCCTTTCGGTCGATGGCCGGATATCGCGTCTACGCCAGAGATGATATTGACGGCTAATGCTAAATGAGCCTTTTGGATCCGTACTGAGAATTCGTCACCGATCAATCCGTTGATGCTGTTGCAACTCCGCAAATAAATGGAGTGGTCAACACGCTCTATCACTTCATTCCTTATTTCTAAGCTAGAAGTGAGTCGATGTAGTCCAGTCCTGTAGCATCATCTTACATTTGACTCTGCGTTTTATCAGTATCTTCACCCAGGAGGACTATATGATCCACATATTCTAAGTCAACGAGATTATTCCCTGGTAACTACTCAATACCTTAGTCACTGAAGTCAGCTGGAGTTAAGTATATCTCTGAAATTGAACAGAAATGGGCACGGTGAACATCCCTGATGGATACCAGTGGTTGTCACCACTTCAGATGACAACTCTCTGTAGGCTCTCACCTTGCTGACTACATGAGTTCGAGTAGAGTGCCTTGATCAGTGCGATGTACTTTCTCGGCATTCCTTTTACAGCCAAGCATCGCCAGAGTACCTCTCGGTCGAAAGAACCGAATGCCACCTTTAAGTTAAAAAATATGACGATTGTTGGACGCCGGTAAGTATGCTTATGCTCCAGAATCTGTCGAAGGGTGAAGGCATGATCAATACACCTTCTTCCTGTGTAAAACCTGCCTAGTTCTCTCGTGTTTGTTCCTCCCGATCACCACTTAGTCTACGCATGATTATTGAGCCTAGAACTTCAGATACCATATTGGTCAAGCTGACCCTTCTGTGATTATCACAGGAAGACTTGTCTCCCTTCTTGTATATGGGGATAATCGAGGACTTACACCAGCCCAACGGGACTATCTTTGATTCTCTGATGTCTTACAATTGAAAGCGTTCTCTGAGCTGGTTGGTTTAGTCGCGAAGCTTTCGTCATCCTTCCGGACAACATCTTCAGCGCCATATTTAGCACTAATTATGCTAAATATGGCGCTGAAGATGTTGTCCGGAAGGATGACGAAAGCTTCGCGACTAAACCAACCAGCTCAGAGAACGCTTTTAATTGTAAATCATCCACCTGAGCTACAAATCTTCTCTATTATTCTCTGATGTCGCCTAATACCTTATTAAGCCTAGACAGGAATAAGTCATCACGGTACTTAGACACCTCTGCGGTCATTACATCAGGTCCTACTGCTCTGCTTTGTTTCAGATAAGAGACAGCATTTGTAACATCAGTCAGAGATTGAGAACGGGTGTTTATATCCCTTTAAGGGGGTTGTTGGATGCTTGGTAAGTTGAACGTGACTGTAGATCAGTTAAATTACTTCTCAGTGTTCCTTCCAACGTCCCAGTCGTCTATCCTAAGAGCTAATTAGGACGCGATTTTCCTCGGAGATTGTCTCGCTCATCATTTGCACTTCGCTACCTGTTTCCCTGATACGTCTAAATAGTTTTCTGGTGCTACTGAAAGCTGATACCTTTGACATCTCTTTCGCTTTTGTCCTCCCTTACGGTTCACGGTCGTTGCGAAGACTTCTTGTTAGTTTACGCTTTAGTAGAAATCAGTCCTCATCATATTCAGAGACCTCTGGAATCAGTCTTGTCAGAAATCCACTGGCTTTTACTGACCCTTTAGTTTTAGTTTATCAACGGCCTTTACGGCTGTATTAACAGCTGCATAAATATTGTGCCAGGCTTCCTCAAGTCGTCAAACTCAGATACGCGTCTACCTATTTCATCCTTAAATAGCGACTGAGCGTCCTGATCAAGTTGTTGGCTTAACAGCTTCATCACCGTCTTTTTTATGTCCATTTAATAGTAAGCATGAACGTGCACAGTTCAGGTTGTGATCGGAGTCTGCGCATGTGTTACAGACCTGGTCGATAGCTGCTACCTTGACGTAGTGATCGGAGTTGCACATCGCATTGGCCTAACAAGCTTCACTTACTAGGACTAATGTTCCTGCAAGTCCTACCATTGCGGAAATGTTCAGATAGCGATTAGACTAAAGGCTGTTACCTTCGTAGTGTTAAATGTTTAAC